CATTATTACTCCACTGTAAGGTTGAAGCAATTGAAGCCCAATGAGATTATGCATAAGAAATTGTTCAGCTGAGCTGGATATGTAGAGTGCATGCTTCGCATGTGAGCCCCTGGCTTGGATCTCCAGTACCATGAAAAAAAAAAATTGCTCGATAAGTGGTTTTGACAGGGTTCAAACATAAGCTACCCCTTCTAACACCAAGCTCTTTGCCCTTCGCTGCGCTCCTCAGGGTGTAGCACAAGACTGACTGCTCCAGGAAGGTCTCTACCACCTCCCAGTGGATCATGGCTCTTTAGTTGGCACTGGCTCCACTATAAGGATGTAAACCCCTTTGGGGCTTCATACTCTTCTAGGGAAAAGATCAGTGCTCCCATGTACTCAAGATCAGCATCTGTAGCACTGGGCAGTTGTTCAAGCTCTCTGATTTGACTGAGGAAGGCAAATTCTCAGAGAAAGAATCAACAGGATGGGTGGATGGATGGTGGCTTTTATTAGGAGAATTGGCTCCCATGACAGTGGTCTATGAGAAGTCCCATAATAGTCTATTGTCAAGCTTGAAAACCAGTGAAGCTAGTAACTGGACTCAGTTCAAGTCTGAAAGCCTCAGAACCTGGCATATTGATGGTGTACCTTTAGTCGAAGCCAGAAGGCCAGAGAACCTGGGCCCACTGTGCAAATTCTGGAGCCCAAAGGCTGGAGAACAGAGTTCTGAGATCCATCAGCAGGAGAAGGGTCTGGAAGAAAAAGACCAGGAATTTACCTTTCTCCGTTATTTTTTTAAGGAGGGTCCTTCTGGCCCCAAATGATTGGTTTAGTGTCTGCACATTTAGAATAGACCTCCACTTTCCTCCAACTCATGTATCAATCTCTGTTTTATTTGTTAGTAGAAATGGAGATTGAATCCAGGACCTTTGCACCAACCAACATCTCAGATCTTTTGGCTTTTATTTTGAGAAGAAATTTTGCTAATTCACTAATTTTTCCCAGGCTGGGCTTGGACTTGGGATCCTCATGCCTCAGCCTCTCTCAGTGCTTGGATTGGATTGCCAGTCTTCTCTGGAAACACTCTCACTGTCACATCCACAAATATTGCCTTACCAGCTAAGTATCCCTTAATCCAGTCAGAGTGACACCTCCAATTAACCATCAGTGACCCTCAGGTATTGACAAGGGCCAGAAGAAAATAGTGTTCATAGAGCTCTTAGCTTTTGAAGGTACCTGGGAACTCCTCCAAGCCAGCCCAAGGGGTTAAGAATGTCTCTCTTGGCCTGAATTCCAGCTCTAGTTGATACCCACAGATTGGTATTAATGACACAAGCACTCTTTGTGGGTACGATCTTGCAGAACACAGGGAAACTGTAGGAAATTCAGAGCTGGGCTCACATTCACTGAATTTGCTAGGAAGAATTTTGTGAACAAAGAGGGATTTCCTAAGTCACCCATTAAGATGGATTTGGAGCTCTTGAAGACCTGACTTCCATTTAGTGACTAATTCAGTAAGTTCTACCTGCTAATCTATCCTGTGCAGAAGACATTGTGGAGCAGCAAGCATGCTGGAGGCTGTGGTCATGCCCCTATCCCTGGGTGACTGGCTCTAGGGTGTCTGGCACACCAAGAGAAACCTGTGCATATGACCTTCTCTAATTGTAAGAGAAAGCATGGATGCTACCTAGCATCATCCTCAAGTAACAGTTAAAGAATGTTAAGTTCAGAGAGGTCAAGTGATCTACTGAGAGTCATGCAGCCAGGAAAGGTCAAAACTGGGATGTAGAATTGGTAAGTACACTCTTAGAATACTGGTTTCCTTTGAGTACTCCTCTCTGAGGCGTCTTCAGGGGAAGCAGTGCCATGGGTGATGATTGGAACTGATGATCCTAAAGCACCCAGATCAGTCCCTGACACGAGGTGGGCATTCTGCCAACCTAGGCTTTGTTCCAGGTATAATAACCTCCATGACTTCTGTTTCCTGTGCACTGAGATCTTTGCAGGTCTTTGCCCTTGCCAGTACTGCTTCCTTGTCTGAGTGCCTTTTCACACTTCTTCTTCCTTCTTCCCTCCCAGAAGAAACTTTCTCTTTCAGGACCAAATGTGTTTTAAGTCACACATTTGCTTCTCTCTGGCATTTAGGTCCGGAATTTTTCATGGAATGACTAGTCCTCTGTCTTCCATGGCCTATGGTTTCTCAAAGGGCCAGGGTCTTGTCTTTCTGGCTCAGTAAAATGTCTCCTTGTTTCCAGCAGTGTCCAGTGTGTTGTAAGTGCTCAGTGGATATGACTGGGTGTGTGACTGATGATACCCTGCCCAGATATGACCACTGTATTCCTTCTAACACTTCTGTCAATATTTAAGTAACATCTTCACACCGACCTTGTTATACTTTTAAAAAGTTAAAAATATGATTGCCAGCAGGTTAATACAATCCTGTGGGCAGCATTTTAAAGCAAATGATGGAAGTCTAGGACAATTGCATTGCACAATTGCACAGTGGGTAACCAACTGGAAATAGCCTGGCCTTTGTCTGACATCAGGCATGGTGTGAGGACAAGAAGCAGCATCTCAGGGCCATCTTGGAAGTGTGTCCATGAGAGGAGGGACGAGGAAGACTCCCAGTTAATTGAAAGAAAAATAATAGTGTTTTACCTCCATAAGTCCTGACAAGTAAGTATAAATCTTGGAGAATTATAGAATCTTAGCACAGAAGGGATTTTGACATGGTTTTGATAATTTTGAGTGGTATCTTTCATCCACACCTTCCTGTCCCCATGAAAGAGTAATCCTGCCTACCACACCCATGCCTGCACCCTCTAGGTCCTTGTCCCACATCTGCTTGGAGGTAACTATTATGTGTGTGTGTGTGTGTATGCGTGTGTGTGTGTGCTCACCCTGCTTCGCTCTATACTTTCATAACTTATTTATATATCACCAAACAATATATATCTTCCTTTGTCTTCTAAAAATCCTGACATAGTGCAATAATACTGGATATGTATTTTGTAACTTGCTTCTTTCACTCAACAATTTGCACTTGAGACTAGACTGAATTGATGTATTTCACTATCATATCATCATTTTCTCTTCTGCACATTTGCTTAATTATTATTGTGTTGTATAAATAAGCCATGAGATGTTTATCTAAAAAGGAAATAAAGGTACCCATGGCTTCCATAGCTCCCATGCAGACCTGTCCTGGGAGTCTGGGAAGAGTAGCTCTGCATCAAGGCAGTTTCTGGATGAAAATGAGAGATCCAGTTTCATCGCCATTTTTTCCTCAGTGGCATCAGTGTCCCCGGGCACCACTGGCATTTTACTTGCCTTAGTAAAGGGAGGTGGCCATGTACAAGAGGAAGAAGAAAGGAAGCACTCTTGATTCCCTGCAGGCCTGGGGAGATCATCAGAGGCCTAACCTACATGGTCTTGCGTTGTCTTTAAGTAAAACTGCCTTCCTACGACCCAGGCCTGCTTATAGGAACTTCACATCTAGGCCGTATATTCAGCTCCCTTGAGGCCCCAGATGAGCTCCGTCCCTTCTATTCTGAGTGCTATATGTCCTGGAGAGGACTAGAATTTTATCCAAACACTTGGAAAAAGCTTACCAGGAAGGCTAAGTGCTTAGCAACACTAAATGGAAAATAAAAGGCTGTTCTCCAAAGAACTCCGTGTCCAATCACCTGCTGCCCCCAGCCTATGCGCCCTTTCTCCTGCTGCCCCCTTCTGTCTTATTCGTTGCTTTCTCTTGTACAAATCTTCAGTGTTCCCTCAAAAATGCTACCTGTCTCCCCACCCCGGCATGGGGAGGTCTGCCCCGGACTGAGAGCTTCAGTTTCTTTTCTGTTATGCGCTTACTTTGGCACTGGGATAGCCACCATGAAGTCCCACTTGTTTGTGAAAGTAATGGTTTCAATACATCATCATTAAACTGATGGAGTGTGGGATGGGGTGGGGGTGGGCCAGGTGGCAAGGAACCCATCAAATGCGGTTGTCAGGGTAGAACAAGAAAACGCACATCAGCAGAAAGAGGTGGGGCACATTTGGGAGTTCACTGATACATTTATTTTTCTTCTCGTTAGCTCTGGCTTGAGTTTCCAAGCTCACTTTTCAATTTCAATCTCAATGTTAATCACAACATACAGCATGTAAGTAAGTGGAGAGAAAGTCAATGTTCAATCATGGTTTCGCGGGGACGTGTGGCTTTATTTTGAAAAATGACAAGGGCATAAATGAAAGAAAAGAATAGAAAAACAGGGTAAGATTTTGGGTTTGAGCATTAGGCAAACATGTTAATAATGAATGAAGAGAATTTTCAGTATTGGTTTGCTGTGCATGCTGGGAAAGGCAGGAATGGGCTTTATCACATTTTATAATTTTTAGGTTGAATGAAGTGAAAGGGCTGGCTTACAAGTTAAAATGATGTAATATTGGCATTTTCATATGAATCAAGCTAATACGCATTAATCTGTGTGATTACTTGTTTTATGTCTCTTTTCTGTGCTGAACTGAAAACTCTGGAGGGACATGAACAATGTCTGTATTTTGTTTACTCAAACTAGCAGGATGTCTGGTAAATAATAAATGCTTGCTAAAGATGTCATAGATAGAATACAGAAGGACACAAGAAAGGGGAGCCCAGGCCATAGTGGTTGTGAATAAAGCCCTGACCCAAGGTTAGGTCAGGGGCCCAGGATGAACAGGATAACACTCTGTGACTCAACCATCATGTCAGAGAGAAAGAGATCCTTAGTACCAGCGTTTCAGAGGAATACATGGGAAAGCTCAGGTGTTGCAAGGCAGCTTTCTGTGTGGCAGACTTACACATGGCATGAGCACTGGGTCATTAGCTCATTAGGGAGTGTTCTGAGGTCCCATCTGTGAGATTAAGGGTGGGAGGAAGAATTGGGCAGCAGAAGTTGAGTGTGGAGTTACAGGGAGTTTCCACTTCACCTCTCAGAAGTTCTGAGTCTGGACTTATTGCTCTCTACTGTCCTGAGTTGGGGTAAGGGTGCTGCTGTGCCTTTATGCTCCTATTATTGACCAACTGTTGGATGTGGGCTGAACACAAAGAGGCATGACCTTGGGCAAGGTGACTCTTTCAACCATAGCAATACCTGAGTTAGGCTGACAGCTGACATGAGCATCTGGGGAAATAAGTCCTTCAGTTCTAAAAGGGCATCTTGGTGGGTATCAGAGCATCCAGTAAAGGTATAATGGAAAGGTGAGCACAGTTGGATGGGCGGAGGAGAGGCACCTGCAGCCTACCATGTGGGTGCTGGCAGAGATGAGGCACCTGTTCCAGGCAGTGCCAGGGATGCCTGAACCTCCCCAGAGACCTGAAAACCCAGAGGATAGTTGAGAGCATGGTAGCAGAGCTCGGTAAATAAAACTCTCAGAACCAACACTTATCTGCAGGAAGGGCAATTGTTCAGATTTAGAGTTCCAGTCCTTCTGCAGGTGGGGAAAGAGCCTGAGGAAGTCTCTTTTGATTTTTTCTTGGGTCAACTGCATTTCATACCAAGTGTCCTGTGAAACACAACAACGTCATAATTTATAACATTTTCATTATGAAAACCATATGTATCTGTTTAAGCAGATCAGAAAAGTATGGAAAAGTGGGAAAATGGAAATTCTTTATAGTTCCCCTAATCAAAGGTAATCATGGCATGCACGGGGAGTGTGCTTACTTACTTACTCACTTTTATTGCCTCATAGATACCTTCTTTGAGTTATAATCGTACAAGTTCTGCAACTTACTGTCTTGGCTATGTACTGTAACATAAACTGTTGGCACTGGTTATACTGTATCTTATTTCAGTGAGTGAATATGCCATAATTTACTTAACCAAACAATTTGATTGCTTTTATAGTTGTCTTCTTATAAACATGACATGACAAAACTTTACATGTAAATGTCTACAAGTGCATTGCTTGACAAACTCTCCAATACAGAATAATTGGATTAAAGTGTGAGAACATTTCTACTGTCTTAGGCTGGAAGTTCCTGATTGATTGATACTCCCCCGCTGCACCTAAAGGAAGCTCTGGATGGCATCAAAGGCCGCAAGTCCTGTATCCATGACCCTTCTCTTGGCCATCTAGCTAAGCTCTCACCATTTCATGAAGGCCAGTTCTGACCTCTTCTCTCTCCTGCACACCTGCCCACCTGCCTGTCCCTTCCCTGCCCCTTCTTTTTCCTGTCCTTTGGGAGGAAAGAGCAAGCACGCACCAGTTATTAGCCTTTACATTCTCCTGCTCAAAGGGAGAGAACTATACACACGTAGAAAAAGAGTTTTCTTAGTCATTTTTCTATTATTGCTGAGGTATGTTGCATTATCTATTAAAATATCATAATGCGGTGGACATTTTCCTTGGATTTGTAAGTCACTCTTAAAAGATTTTATATGGGCACACTTTTCTGTACAAGCATGAAGACCAGGGCACTTTTCAGAAATTCATGTAGGATAAATAAAGGAATGAATGAATAAATGAATGCTATTGGACAAAGTTTGTTTGGACCAACTCTACCTTTACCAACTTACTTGATCACTGTCTTTTCGGAAGGTCTCTTGTCCTTCTGGAGGGTCATTCTTCCTCCTCTTCCATGCCTCATTCTCAATTTCCTTCCTTGGTAGGCTGGCCATCATAAGGGATCTCAGCCTGTACCTATGTAAAAAGATCTTTATCATGTGCTCCATCTTTAAAGCTTGTCCTGCTGGACACACAATTCTAGGTTGACCTCTTCTTCCTATTTGGAGGCATAATTTGACTGTCTTCTGACTTTCTCTGTTGTTACCGAGAAGTCTGTGTGCTGCCCATGGGCATCCTTTAGGGACCATCTCTCCCCTGCCTCTGGAGGTTCTTGGAACCTTGCCTTCACTTTGGAATTCTTTTTTGTGATGTTGTTTCTATTTGTGATGTGTCAGGACCACTTCCAAGCTTGACCTGTGTGCTTCATCATGTCAAGAAAATCCTCATACACATCCTTCTTACATCTCTCCTCCCCATTGTCAATGTCTGTGAATTTGACCATAAAACTATAAGCCTTTTCAAACTTGTATTCTGCATTTTAATCTAGTTGCTGTACTTCCAGCATTGTCCATTTTTGCTGTTACATGCAACATAAATTCTTTAGAGCAATCTTCTTCTTTATGGAATCTACCTTTATCTGTAGCACTTTGACACACTGAGTTTTAATTTCAAATATTTTTATTTAAAGCCAAGAGTTTAGGTTTGTTTATCCATTTTTACCATCTCCTATTCCTTATTTATGTAGACATTTTCTACTTTTTAAAATTCCTTTAAACATTAAATGTACCAATTTTACATTGTACCCAATTATTTGCAGTTCTGATTCCTCTATGTATAGTGTCATGTTTCCTTAGGTGTTCTTAGATTTTAAAGATACTGTGAATGCACATTCCTTGGGTATTCAACTGCAAGGTACTTTGAGTACTTGGATAAAGATGTAATCTAGAAATGGTTCACACTTGCATAAGTTTGGGGTCTGTTAGGGACTGAATGCTTGTGTACCCCACTGCCAAGTTCATGCCGTGAAACTCTAACCCTTAAAATATCTGGTGGAGAGAGGACTGGTGGAGAGGTCATTAAGGCTAATGAGATTGTAAGGGTGGGGCCTTTGTCTCATACACAGAACCGCTGTCCTTATTAAAAGAAGAAGAGATACCAACGACTTCTCTTTCTCATCCCACACTCCCCATGCACAGCAGAAGGACACACGTGAGAAGGTACCACCTGCCAGCAAGGAAACAGCTCCAGAAACCAACTTGGCCTTGATCTTGAATTTCCAGCCTGCAGGATGGTGAGAAAATAAATTTCTGTTGCATGAGGCCCTCAGCTTATGGAATTTTGTTATAGCAGCCTGAGAAGGACAATCTCAGGACAATCCTGAGAAGGTCTTCAGAGACATACAAAGTGTAACCAGAACAGCAAACCCACGGGAGAGCTGGATGGCAGTTATATATTCTAGCGGAGGCCTTGGTGCTGAAGGAGGAGAAGCAGCTGCACTGCAGGCCGTGTTTCTCTCTCTCTAGGACACACTGCAGAAGGAGATTCCAGCCCTTTGGGACTCCAGCTTCACTTAGCCGCTCTTGTCAGGCATCCCCCTGCCTCATGCCCATGTTGTTTTCCTCTAACCTGTTGTGTGGTCACAGCGTGCACCTGAGGCTCACCAGGGGGCATCAGGTGTTGCTATGTGAAGGCCGGCTTGGCTACTGCTGATCTCTCTGGCTCCCCTTACTGCTCAGTTTTATGACCTCTGACCTTTCTTCCAAAGCTTCCCAGTGCGTTCATTACAAACCTGTTTCTGGAGTTTGTAGCTGTTTTCCAAGAGAGGATAGTTGATGGTGTCCAGTGCCCCATGCTGTCAGTGAGAGATTTCACTGAGTGCAGAACCACATCTGGTCCATCTCTGCCTCCCTGCAGGAAGCCTGGTGTCAGCCCTGGAGGACATAGACTGGTCTATTTTATGGGGCAGCTGAATGTAGCAGAAGGTACGTGAGAGTCCCCCGTGCATCCCACTCCACACCTTACACTGAGCCTGGGTGTAGTCAATGGGTCATTAGTAATCAGAATACAATAAAGGCCATACAGGTATTTACATAATGGAGGCTTTTCTCTGGGAACCCAGTTCAAGGAAAGCCCAGAGGAGTGGCTGATGACAGAGGTCATGGATAGAAGCCACAGGAGATGAGATGCCCATGAAGAGTCGGGGGCTTGGAGGAGAGGTGAGGTTCCCGGACCAAACTGGAGACCAGAAGCCCCAGCTGGACCAGTGGGACTATTCAGCCAGGAAAGATGCCTTCCCAGGTCAGGAGCAGCCTAAGGAATCTCTGCATCCCAGGTAGAAAGTCAGAGCCAAGCACTGCAACACCTGTTGGCTCAGGTGCCTAGGGAGAGTGTAAGAAGGAGTGAGCTGAAGCTGTTTAGGTCACTAAGTTTAAGGGTGGTTTGCTGGGCATCACAGACAAATAAACCATTGGAATTTGCCCTAGCTGCTTGTTTTCACCAGGTGTAGAACACACATGCAGGAGGACTGAATGAGAGACACAAGCAGCAGCATCCCTGCCTTGTCTGGGCTTCTTTCATAGCCTTGTATTTTATGGAGATGTGAAAGCCTCAGCTCCCACTGGGGATTGAAGTCTGCATGGTCTTCCCTAGAGGGCTCATTTTCTTGTCTCAAACAGAAAGGCCACGAGCAGGGGTTCTCTGAGGTCCTCAGGTCTTTTGCAAAGCTGGCCTTCAATGTTGTGCATATAGCCAAGCACCTGTTTCAGCCTGTCTTTGTGTTGAAACCTCAGGGAGATAACAGAAACAAAACGTGTCACTTCTGGGCTTGTGAGTTTGGGATCCCAGTGGGGACATGTCTTGAGCCTGCATGGTGGGGCTCCGTGATAGCTGTGGAAGCCAGGGGTGCGTCTGAGGAGGAGGTACTCATCCTTCAGACTCAGCCAGGAGCAGGTGTGTGAGATGCCCCGCAGACAGCCCCACCCTTTCTTCCCTCTGCCCGGATATTAGCCTGTTCCAGGACAGGAAGTGGAGGGCAGGGACTCAACAGAAGCAGGGGCACTGGGGTGGGGCTTTGCAGGGGAGACCTGAAGTGTGAGATGCTCTTGGTCCTTAAACAGTTGAGAAGTTTTGTAGCTTCTGGAAGGGTAGGGCAGCTACTGCTGCTCTGGACTAGGGAGGCCACTGGGGAAGGGCCCACTTTGTAGAGGGTTTCCTAAGCTGTGAGGAAGAGCCAAGAGGTGTTTCTTAGAGGTGACAAAAAAGCATTTAGGGGTGACTTTTTTTGGGTATGTGGTATTGGGGATTGAACCCAAGGGCCTTTGCACTGACCAACATCCCTATCTCTTTTTTATTTTTTATTTTGAGACAAGATTTCACTAAATTGCTAAATTGCCCAGGCTGAGCCAAAACTTGCAATCCTTCTACCTCAGCCTCCCAGAGCTCCGGTATTACTAATGTTCACCACCAGGCCTGGCATGTGGTTTGTTGCACGTTTTGAAGATCGCTCGATTTTGCTGTGTAGAGATGGGTTTCTGGGAGGCAGGCGTGGAGGTCCAGATTGAGGAAGACAATGGCAGGCAGGACAACCATAGATGAGGGGCCCTGGGCAGGGAACAGGGGCTTAACAAGCACTGCAGCAAGGAGCAAAAAGTAGCGATTGAGTTGCTGGTGGAAGTGGGGAGGCTGGGGCTGGCAGGTGTGGAAGGAGGCATCCAGGGGCCATCTGTGGAGGCGGGTGAGTTGGAGTGTGTGGGAAATGCAAGAACCCAGGCCCTGTACTGCCACTGGGCTGGGATATCACAGCAGAATCGCTGGCAGAGGTCACGGGAACACTGCAGCTGGGCAATGTCTCTCTGTGGTCACCACTGGCTCTGCAGACTCACTGTTAAGTGCCTTGTGAGTGCCTGGGGCTGGGATGGTCAGCAAGGCCAGCAGTCAGGAGAGGAGGAAGATGGCTGGCCTCCCAGGTCTACCAGTCCCCTAGCCTGTGCCGCTCTCTTTCCTTCTTCTGGACAGGGTTCCCATCGTCTCCAGCTTAAGAGGGATCCAGGCAGAGGCTGACCCTACTGCAGACAGGAGCACAGTGCCCAGGTGACAGTGCCCAGCATGGCTTCTGCCAAGGTTTTGCCCAGTTTGTTTCCACTTTAGAGCTGAAATCTTGTGGTCTCAGCCACAAAATTAAATAGTCTTATAGTTGCAAATTTCTAGTATCTTCAGTCAGCACCCATATAATAGAAGAATGGGCTAGGCCGTGGGTCATCCCTGAGAAATCTGGGAAGGCTTCCTGAGGAGGCGGAGTCTCACATGATCCTCACCACCACCCTGAGCTCAACAGCTGCTGACTTACATCCCCCATCTGTGGTTCACCACTTCTGCTCATAAGAAAAAGGGACCGAGTGCAAAGGGACGACTCAAGTGGGTGATCATAACCAGTTTCCCCAGATCTCACCCACCCAGCACTGGTATCAAAAGTTAATGTGTGCTTTAATGTTCCTACTCTCTCATGCTAATTTAATTTTTAAATTAACAAACATTTCCCCTGACATAATAATTGAGGCATAATTGAAAAATGGAACTATATATATTGAAGATGTACAGTGCGATATTCTGATATATGGATAGATTTGTAAGGTAATTACAGTTTCTAGCTCATTAACAGGCCCAATTTCTCACAGACTTACTTTAGGTTTTTTTTTTTTTTTTCATGAGAACACTTAAAATTTACTCTTTTAGCAATGTCAAGTATGTTACACATTATTACCAATGATAGTTACCATGTGAGATGTTTGATCCCAGAACTTAATTTGTTTTCTAACTGTAATTTCCTATCCCTGAATCAAAATCAATATATTTTTCCCACCTCTATTCTCTGGCAACTACTTCTCTATCCTTTGTTTCCACATATTTGACCACTGTAGATTGCAAGGGCAAGTGGAATCAGACAGTGTTGGTCTTTTTGTGTTTGACTTATTTCTTAGCATCGTCTGTCTCCTTGGTTCATCCATTGTCACAAAAGGCAAGATCTCTTATATGCAGACTGAATAAGATTGCATTGCATGCATACCACAATTTTTTATCCATTTATTTATTAAGGGATGTGTGGGTTGTTTCCATATCTTGGCTACTGAATAGTGCTGCGATAACCAAAATATATAAAGATCTCACATAAATTAATAACCAAAAAATAACCAAAACGGGTAAGTTACCATCTGAGCAACTTCGTTGAAGATAACCATATGTTATCTAACAGTTACTGTTCATGCCTATCATTTTGCTCTGCAACCCTATATCATTTTTATTGCTTTTGCTTTGCTTTGTTTTTGTCTATGTGGTTGATA